ATGAATTTGCAGTTAAGACCACACTACATTACAAATAATATGGTCCGAAACGTTATTTCCTACTCAACATATGATACGCCCATCTAATATAAAAATACAAGCGCACAATTTTATCAGATGGTATTGGCAACCCCCAACAGATGATCAACGAAGTGGCCGCACGTGCTCTGAGTAAAAGCATTCCACGCTAACCACTGTGATGGCTTTGCTAGCCCACAGGTTCTCTTTATCCCGTGGCTATTATTACTGCAGCTCTTCACCGTATTTTCCATTTGCACCAAAGTCCACTGCCCATGTTCCTATCAGATCGAGTCGCCATCATTGAAGCGGCCGATGTCCGTCATCGCCACCACTCATCGCCATCGCCATCGCCATCGCCATCGCCATCGCCATCGCCATCAGCGCGCTCGGGGCGGAACAATGGCGCTGTTTTACGAGAGAAGCGGCCCAACCGTACCCACTGTCCGTACAACCCACCGCTGAGATCGTGCAAAGTACCGAATCGAGTTTGTCGCCTGTCCGGCCGTGGACGATAGAGCTGTCCTACGAAAGGAACGGCCCAGCCGTACGGCCACCTCGATCCCGCTGTCCGTAGAAACCTCTGTTGAGATCGTGCAAGGCTCGGAACCAAGCTCGTCGCCGGTCCGGCCGCGCCGCCTCGATGCTCCGCCGCCGCCTCCGCCGCCACTCTGGCTCACCTTCCGATCCGGCTCGCGCTGCCGCCCGCCGCCGCCGGGGCCGCCGCACGGTCTGGCTGGTCGCGTCGCGTCGCTGACGACGGCCAGCACTCCCCGGCCGTGCGCCGACGAGGGGGGGGGGGCACCTGTGGCCGGCGACCGTGCCCACGCGGAGGAGAGTGCGGCGTGATGGAGTGGCGGCCCCGCGACAGCCGGGCGGCGCTGGGCGCGATGCTCGCGGGCCAGCGTCGTGAGCAGAAACACTATAATGCGAGATAGTAAATAGTTCTCCCTCAGGCTGTTTTACATCAAGTGACCCAGGGATTGTCTTTATTAAAACGAGAGTAAATGATTTTGTTTCGATGAATATGTGTGAAGTAGGTCTTAACAAGCCCTTTTTTTGACAACTTAAATTCCCGGCAAAGAAATATGTGAGCAAACAGCAGGTCTATATAGGGCAATTTCAGCTGCGCACTGGATCAAGACATAGCTGGTTTGCAACGGAAGAAAAAATACAACATACATGCCAATATTTCGAGATCATTATGCAAATCACGACATTACAGATGTTTGCAGGTTGTGCAATCCAGAGAAGTGTGAATAATGATGATCAGCAATGTACTGCTCTGAACAGACCCGAGATGCCATTCTTGAACAGCCACTCCCTCGACTCAGTTTCCGAATGTGATAATGAACCCGGATACATGACTGATCAAACGCTATGCTTTCCGGGCTTTTCCATGTGCTATTCCGAGAAGGAGCATGCAGTTTATCAACCTTTCTCATGGAAAGAGCTACATGTCTTTCTCTTTAAATCACACGGAAAACCCCAAACATGACGTCTTAACGTTACAGGTTCCAGTTCAAGTATGACTTTAAGACGTCACAAAAGACTGATAATTTCCTAATCTCAGTACGGTTAAGTCTGCTCGACCAAGTAAGAGGACCAGGATATTGAAAGTGTAACGAGTGTCTGCCATGCGACATGTGTCTGTCTGCCATGTGTGTCATGTGTCATGTCATGACATGTGCCATGTCTGCCACGTCATGACATGTAGGGGCTCTCAGGCTGGCCAGGGGATGCATTTTGAAGGCCTGCTCTGGCTTGGTTTATACCGACGACTTCCTCAAGGGCTAAGCAATTTGATTGGAATGGGGTCCATGAAAAGTGTCTGTCTCTTCTACGGCACACCTTTGATGTTGGTAAGAGGACTGGAATTGTTTTCCAAGACTTTCCAAACGGAAAGCTAGAGGGTTTCATTTAAGGAAGCAGGAAGTGTCGAAAAATAGTGAAAAAACAATAAAATAGTCAGTAGTTAAAAAGGAAGAAGGAATAGAAAAATGTGAAGCTCTCACGTCGATGGCCAGCGCGCCGCACCAGCTGTTTCCGTGAAACACCAGGCTGCACCTAGTGGCGACACCCATACATCATTGCCCAGTGTCACGCTCGCTTGCTCCGCCTGCTTCACGGTGTGGGTGCGCAGGCCCGGCAGAGTGTCTAGTGTTCACCGTAGGGCAACCCCGGCACAGCGTACCAGGAAGGGAAATATATGCTCACTGCGCAAGCGTATTATGTCCATTGCCTCGTTCAAACAACATTTGACTTTAACAGGTAACTCGTCAGTTCTAAACACAAAACACCCGCCTTAGAACTTGCCTTAACCAATGAGCCAATATCAGACTCACATTTTACACAAGCTGAATTTCACTGTGCAGACATTTAGAAACACATGAACGAATTTTCCTCTCCGTAAAGGTCGCAGAATACTGCCCTCATTGGCCGTCGCCCAGAAGCCACCCCAGATGCCACGGTGTGTGATACCCCGAATAGCCCAGCTCCATGGCTTACATCAGACAACGCTGGAATGAAACGATCTTTTCATTGCGCATGCGCACCACGTAGCTGTAGCGTCTGGGACATCTGATTCGAAGTTTCCGTAACGCTCCCCGCGGCCGGCCTCGGCTTCCCGTCCGACAGCCAGCCCCGCCATCTTGCGACAAGTTTCCGAATCAGCTGGTCATTGGCGCCGTGTGCGGCCGAGGCCCGTGCCATACAGGAGGAACGCAACCGTCTTCCATTCCTATCGCCCGCACCATGTCAACCGCGGAGAACTACGCGAGCGCCGCACTGCGGCGGGTGAAAATGTTTAAACAAGCAACACGCAATACAAAAATAATCAAATATCGCCAAAGGAACACAAGCAGCTTGGTGGTCTGCTAGAAGACCCAAACATGGTCGGAAACCATGAGATGATGGTGTAATCATTCGGTCTATGGATAATCCGGTATGAATGGAGAGAAGAGTCACTGATACTTCATTTCCCTTCGAAGAACTTCGAATTTGCAACTGGAAACAGTAAAGCCAGCAGGAGACGGGAAGCGAACGCGAGAGAGAGAGAGAGAGAAGAGAGAGAGAGAGAGAGAGAGAGAGAGGAGAGAGAGAGAGAGAGAGAGAGAGAGAGAGAGAGAGAGAGAGAGAGAGAGAGAGAGAGAGAGAGAGAGAGACCTGATGTCTATCTGATTGGAACGTCCAAAATGCGACCAGTTACGTACGATACTTATATGAGTTTTCAGCATTTCTATCACTCCCAGCGAACGCGGGGCAGACCCCAGAACGGGCTGCAAAGTCACTCCCTGTCCCATGAGATGATGATCATGAGATATCCCATGAGACTCCATGGCTTCCACGATTTGATTTAGAAACTTTGTCGCAAACGACCCCGAACGAGATCCCTCCACAGATCTTACCGATGGCCCTTCCAGGAGCTTGGATCATTTCCACTAAGTTGTGCAGAGATCTTTGAAACCAGCAATTGTTTGTTTTCTAAAACCACAGGATTAGGATCTTTGGGAGTCTCGACTACTCATCTAGCATAAAACCCACACACCCTGAAACCACGCTACCGTCTCTTTCACCCCGTTCAATTTAAAATTGTCACCTGGTATCCGACGTTTTGCTAGAGTGCCACCTGCGCACCTGAGAATGCCTCCGCAGCATTCGCACACGAGCTCGCACGTGGCCGAGTGCCAATCACACGTGATCAACCACGCTCTCCTCCAGAAAATGAAACGCTACTGGAGTTTAAAATATGTATATTATTCATCAATTCTTGCCACAAAGTAAGCGGAGCCTGCACGGGGGAGCAGAGGGGGTGGGGAGGGAGGAGGCAGGTGGGGGAGGTGGGGAGGGGGGGGGGGGGAGCAACTAGAGCGCGCCGCAGCAGAGCAAGCGACCTACGTCTTCACCTACTGCAGGGTCGTCTCCAAGTGTCCGAGCAGCGATCTCCCGCCCGCGTCTCGCGCACGACAGCACACCGGGAGCCGTCGGGACAGCACAGCCCCGCCGTCCGCGAGGGGGCCTGCGGCGCGCGCAGCCTCCGGAGCTGCCGGCAGGCGCCCAGCCGCGCGCGAACACACGCAAACACATCCGACCACAAGTCCGTCGCCGGCCGGCGGCCGACGCCGCCCAGTGACGTCACTGGGACACGGCGGTGACGTCAGCGGTTTCGCAGCGCCGTCAGCGGGACGGACGCGACTGCAGGCGGCGACCTGGGGTGGCGCGCTGACGCGTCAGGTATCTCCGTCCGCGGGCAGTACTGCAAGGCAACAGGCACTGATGAGAGGACGACGGCGTGGTTTCAATCGTGGCCGGTGAGCGGTGCACTGTGTGCTGTGGTGGTCGGTCTTGCCGGATCCGCTCGACCGCAAGTTAATCTATTGACGCGGGGCTTGTAACGCCATACAGGCTTTGTAGACCGTGAAACGAATATTCGCTGCAAAGCAAAAATAGGCCGCCAGCTGTGTTTCAAGCAGTGGAACGTCGCACAGACGAGACTGGGACACTCGACCCAGAGCTCCGTCATAGGCATATCCGTCATGGGCCACATGCACATCTGCAAGCATAACCGGACATTGCACACTCGAGGCGACAGAGAATGAGGCAACCGAGCACTGATAACGGCCGCGTGGGACCTTGTCAACGTGAAATAACACAACACCGCCCTTGTGGGGCCTACAGGAGGTGACACACTACTGACACTGATCATGTGGGACCTACACGAGGTGACACACTACTGAAACTGACCATGTGGACCTGCATGAGGTGACACACTTCTGATACTGAGCATGTGGGACCTACACGAGGTGACACTACTGAAACTGACCATGTGGAACTACATGAGGTGACACCTTTTGACGCTGAGCATGTGGGACCTCATGAGGTGATACACTACCGACACTGACATGTGGACCTACGCGAGGTGACACACTGCTGACACTGACCGCGTGGAACCCGCACGATGGTGACACACTGCTGACACTGACCATACGGGAGCTTCACGAGGCGATCTGTTCGGCGGGGGCCGTCTCTTGCTGGGGCCGCATCACGTCCGGAAGCTCAGGCGGCGTCGAGTAGGGCACCACCTCGGGGGCCTCAAACTCGCCTGCGACGTGGGACACGGTGGAGCTTCAGTGCCACTCAAACTCGCCAGCAGCGTCGTGCACGGCGACCGCACGGCGCCAGCCGAAGCGGTCTCGAATGACGGACACAGTCCTGTCTCGAACTCATCCTTGACGTCCGACCAGTGCCGCCGAGCCAACAAGAGCGACGTCCAACGAGGTCACACTCAGAGTTACACCCAAGCTCGTGAGGTCACACTCAGGAGTTACATCGTAAGTCACGAGGTGACGCCCAGGAGAGTTACAACGAAGCTCGTGAGGTCGCAACCCAGGGGTTACAACGAAGCTCCCGAGATCACACTCAGGGGTTATAACGGCGCTCGGAAGATCACACTCAGGGGTTATAACGGAGCTCGCGAGGTCACACTCAGAAGAGCTGCACCCAAGTTCGTGAGGTCACACTCACGATAGTTACACCGCTGCCCCCTAAGTCGCCCTCAGGGGATCACACAGGCCGACACGCTGCACCATTTGCGCACGAGCCGAGCCGACGACGTCCCACAAGGACAAGCCGCGGCACAACTCGGGGCACCGCGACTGACATTCACCGAGATTAGACACGACACCGACGCTCGGCACAGTTGGGACCGCTGGGACCCGGGGCCGGACGGGGTCACATGTCAAAGCCCGGCACGACTGGGATCGCTGGGACCCGAGGCTGCACGGGGCCACGTGGAGCCGACCTCAGCCGTCAGAGGAGGGCCGCAGCTGCGCACATCACAGGCGGATGGTGCGGCGCGTAGCAAAATCAGACACTGCCACCGAGCCTGAAGCTTGCGTCTGAAGACAACGAAGCGAGCATGTGCAGCGGACCCTGCTGACCGCAGAGCCGGCGTGAGAAGCACAGGAGCTAAAGACAAAAGGCGGACTAAGGCCTTATTTTGCAGGCGAGGCCGCAGATTGGGGCCAACCCGGAACGGCGTGGCACACTTACCATCCTCTTGCCGGAAGCAAAGGACCAGTGTGGCCGGCTTGTGCGCCTGCGCCGTCGATGACGTCAGGCCGCAGTCCTGCGCGGCGGAGGCGGCGTGTCACTGGCCGGCAGGATAAGAGTGACGCCATCGACATGGCAAACCACACAACGGACTGCATGGGTGGCATGACACTACAGTGACGTTACAAACACAGGAACGCCATTGGACGACACAGGAAGCGAGGCAGTTTTTCTCACGCGCGCGTTACGTAAAAGTCCTGGGAAAACAACTCGCATCTGGAAAATTTTACCCATGACCCGCGGTTGAGTCGGCGTCATGCGTCATGGAGCAGCTTCGAACGATAATATCCTCAATCATGCGGCGGATCAGGAGTGAGAACTGGGGCAAGTTCCCAGCAAGCGGATGAAACAGCCGTCAATATGCCACGCCCCCCACCGGGCGATCGCCGCCCGCGAGCACTTCAGACGTCCAAAGAGTTTCCAGTACAGCCCGCCAACGCCACGCGAACGGACGCGGACCTGATGACCTGGCGCGGCACTAGGGGCCGGAGCCAAGCCTCGTCTTCCGCTGCGAGAGGACTGGGCATGGCGGAAGGGGGGGGGGGGGCAAAGTGCAGCAGAACCGGGAGGGAGGCCCCCATAGGTTCTGGCTGTCCCCCAGCAATCAGTGTTGGCTTTGGCCCGCCACCGGCGCGCGGCCAGAAAAGACCACGCCCGGCCCACCAAGGGGGCCCATGGCACGTGCCGACCCGCCTCGAGGGGAACATGTGTCTCAACGTCGGCTTCCTTCATGCCGTCACGGATGCCCCCCCCCCCCTCACCACCACCACCCAACCACCCAACCACCCAACCACCCACCCACCACCCCACCCGACGATGGCGACGCAGCTGGCTCAGCGAACAGGGCTGGACTGGAGCACACACGCGAAGCGCGTGCGTCGAGCAGGAAAGACCCAAGAGGGGGGACGGGGGACGGGGAGGCTTTCATGGAGCGCTACAGAGCCCCCCCCCCCCCGCGACAAGAAGGGCGCGGCGAGACTTTGACCGGGCCAGAATACCTGAAGCGTCTTAGTGTCCTCCATCTCGGTCTCGTCCTTGAGCAGCTTCTGGTTCTCGGGCGCCACCTTCAGGATGCCCTCCAGGATTCGCTTCAGCTCCGCCACGGACGTGTTCTCCTTGGCGTCGGTGAAGATGGTGGTCTTCTGGCGCCGGATCATCATGTAAATGTCCATGGCTGGGCTGTTGCGGATAGGGTGCGCGGAGTCAGGCAGGGTCGTGTCATGTCATGTCACTGGGGGTTAACGACGCACTCAGCTGCTGAGGCTATATGGCGTCGCCTGCCTCTCACTCTGGCAGGAGGGGCGGGCACCGCGGGGAATCGAACCCGGTACCTCTGGTTTCCCAGACATGCAATGGCTATCGCAGACGCGTTAATCACTACATTACCGGCACCCCAGGTAGGGTCGTGCTTGATAGCTTCTTTCACGTGGTCAACTGGATTACAAAAGTAGCAAGATACAAGAAGGATCAAAAGTGCCAAAATACAAGAAAAAACCTCTACCAGTAACCTGGCGGGTTGTCGGTGATGGTTTCGACGCCAATTTTTCGGACAATATTTGAACTCAATGGCGTGTAGAATGGACGCAAATGCAAATGACTAAAAGCACATACGGATTGCGGTTCTGATGGTGGTAAATTAATCATCCCACTGTGCTGCTGTTTGCAACTGGTGTCCGCATTCGGACGAGTTTCTAATCTCAGTTTGAGTGGGAATAACGCTGGGAATTGAATTCATGACTGACAGAAGAACAAGAGCCTGCGGTCTCATAATGCATTATAGATGACGCACTAGCTGGGGCGCCCAGCGAAGTCCAGATAATGAATTCATTCATGCTAAAGCGGTGCGACCTGCAGTGTTCCATCTGACTCCATATTGCAAATAATCGGACTCCCGCTGTAGGCATTCGTCTTTGTCCTTGCATTTACCGTTGGACATGTTCCAATGACAGCGCCAGCTGATCTGGGTGCGACGCATTTAAGCATGAAATTCGCCGACTACGACCTCTAAACAATGCCACAGTTCCAGCTTTCAACTTCACAGAAGCAAAGGGCAGCGAGTACAATACAAACCGCAGAAGTCACACATCAGTTCGGATCGCTCGGTAGCCGTCAATGCCGCAGAGCAGCTCACAACGTCCCACTGCGTCGTTGCTTGCACACGTGACTGGACCAGTGGGCGCCCTGCATGACACATGCCCCAGGTGCTACCCCCCCCCCCCCCCCCCCCCTCCACTGCAGTCTGCTATCCGGCTTGAGCTCTCACCAGCGAACACCCGGGTGTAGGGAAGTCACGCGCGACGCAAATGCTAGCAAGTGGAAGCTGGCGCCTGGAAATGACCTCCAGCAATGCTATCAACAATTTGTGTTTGTTGTGTTAAAACATGTATGAGTTCTGATGCAAAAATCACCCTTACAGGAGATTCTGATTAAATAGTGTTATCAAACACACATTGATACAGCTTTCCAGACAATTCAATGTTTAAAGGTGTTACTTATGACCATGGGTGACAATGCTTGCTGGAAAATGTTATGTATGTCAATGCATATGATGTACATGTATATGTAATACATCTGTATGTTATGCATGTCAATACCTGCTCGCCAAGATCACTAATACAGTGCCTCTTGGCATATTGAATATTTTCTCATACAAGCTTGCTCCCAAATGACAGGAAATGAAGCTGTTTTACTCACTATGGAAGGCATATTTACACATATTATGATAGCATATTAAATGAAAAATAAGGAAGGACAACTGTGCATAATGAGACTTCCTAGAGAAACCAAGACCAGATGCTGTTTTGCATCCAAAAGTGAAGCATCATTTTCGACCCTAACACCACACTGAAGCATAAAATGGCACACAATTGTGTTGCTTGCCTGACATCAAAAGCAAATTGACATGTGACATGGCATGACAAATGAAACTGAAAGCCATTCATCATAAAACAATGCATTGTTAGCAGGAATGGGACACCAGGAAATTGCATGATTCACCAGCCAATAATACTGAAATATCAGCCAATTAGCCTAAAATGCAATGACCTAATGGACATCTAATCAAAGTGTGTGGAAGCTTACCTTTGCATAGCATGAACACAGCAAATGTCAAACTGCACAGACTCCCTACAATGTCAATGACAGATTAAGCAGTCCCATTTCTTAGGCTGGCAAAAGGTTAAATCTCACCATCATTTCAACTCAAGTCAGGGTACTAATAGTGTAATAGTTAACCTGCACAGGTACAAGGTTTGACTACCAACAGTACCCACACTCCCTGCCAGGGTAAGAGGCAAGCAATGCCATGTAGCCTCAGCAACTGAGTTTGTTGTAAATCCCCAATAGCACAGGCACTCAACTTACATCAATCAAAATTGCACTACATCACATGCATAAAGGCATTAATACCAGTATAAATTCCACTGACTGCATCATCCTTGGACACTTGATTTGTATCAGCAATGGGTTATCAGTAATTAGTAATCTTGACCTCACTTGGCATGGTTGCATCTTAATGATCAGCATGCTGTTCACAAAAGGGATGTCTCAAATTTATTTTGGAGGTAAGGTAGTGCAGTCCTACTCTAGATGACCAATGTTGGTGTTAATGTTGGAAAGTGGTACTCCTGCATATATAGTATATTGTTATATGGCTTCACAATTGCAATTAATGGGAAAGCAAACATTGCCCACCAACATCACATCAAAATGTGGTTTCTGTTTGCAGCCAACAGTAACCTGTACTGGGAGCCAAATATCCATTGTAGCCAGCTAACCCTAAAACCCCAATAATCATCATCAGCAACCTATATTTTGACAATCTTGGGATGTTATATGAAACACCAACTGACAGCAAGCAGCAAAACACCAATATACATCAGCACCCATAGCCAACAGGGAAAAACCTGCATCTTGAAAGTCATACCCTTCAGAAATGCAAATGTCATATTTTGTTCCAACTGAAACTTACTTTTCTGATGCTGTGAAATTTGGTGTGCACTTGTTAGCCTTCAAAACCAGATGCTATGACATCACCACCAGTCTCCTCAAACACCAATCTCTGTTGCTAGGGGTGCACATCAAGGATATCACTCAAAGGTTCCATGATACATCTTTAGACATATATTGTAACTTTTTCTGAACACATGGTATAACTGCACATTGTGAGCCTGTACAAGCTGTTCCCAACACCGCAACTGTGCCTTTTATTTCAAGCTTGTTCACAGGAAATACCAAGGATATATCAGCTCTTTACAATTGCCTTACTGCAGTCAGACTTTTCAGAACCATAGTGATTACATATCACCTCTTTTTTGCATCAAAGATTTCATGAACAACTCAGGTGAGGTGGGAAGTGTGAGGATGGTCAGAAGATATGATTTCACATATTTTTTGTTGAAAGAGTAAAAAACAGGGAAAATAAGCCAAATCATGAACTTGGCATCTGCCATTCTGGCATAACACCTCATATCTTTTGCCTATTGGTTGCAGAAGTATTACACAAAATGCAGAATCAAATGCGAGTGAAGCAGTCACCATAGCAAAATATAACTATTGTGCATACATGGAAACAGAGATGTAAATTTAATACAAAGAAGAAACACTATAGGACAAAATGAGCTTTACAGGAGATACTTATGGCATAAGAAAATGAGGTTAATATACAAAAAGTGAATTGCATTACATTAGATTACCAGCATTCACTGCATTTCAACCTAATTAAGATGAAAGGCACGCAGTAAGCTACAAGATAACAGACCATAGAAGCCTGTAGTTACACACATAGGGTACCTAACGCAATTACTGGTCCGCAGGGCAACGCCAAGCATGCAAGAACGCTGAAAGCGCCATAATGACTTATCATGTTTTTGTGACTGGAGCTGAAATACACTTCCCCGCACAAATCATTACAAATAAACTTACGTTTATTCTAAGTAAACTAAACGAGAATAATTCCCTGAGGAAACAACAGTACTAAGTTCCTTTTCTCAGCCGCCCGTCCACCAATCAGCCACCAACTTCGAACAACTCATGCCAGTGATGACAATCAAGACGCACGAGTGGATGCAAGGAATGTTGTAAACGAGGCTGAAACAAGAACACCTGCTGAGGTACCACGATAATGACGTCAATGCGACACTAAAAGTCCAAAACGTTAAAAGCGTCTGTAAAATAGTTTTTGGCCGTCGTGTCTGGTTTTCCTTCAGCTTTTAGGGCAGACCTGTAATATTTTAGAAAAGACACGAAGCGAACTGTCCCATGTCCAGTCTACAAAAAATACATTCACTGCGTCGGACGCCCGCAAGGCATCGGCGCACTGAGGAGGAACTAAACGGCCAACCAAATGTTTTGAAATGAAGGCGCATGAAAAACCTGGCGCATTGTGATCCATCGACCAGCTTTCAAAATTCTCATCAGCCTATATCCATGCCGTATTTTGACATCTACACTGTGGCTTTGACTTGCATGACTTCGTGGCTGCAAAACCGTGAGGCAGAATCCTGTAATTATAGAATATTAGTGACTACTGGCATTCAAGGCCCAGTATAAAAAAGCAATTGCGAGCCAGTAACCACACCAATGGCCCGCAAAAAAACCAGAAGGAGCTAGATCAAGGTCAAGATCTGTTCTGATCTGATCAAGAAAAACAGATCTGCCCCAACTCAAATGTAGGGCACACTGTTCTGTCTCCATGGATGACACTTTTCGAATTGCGATGTTTATGTTATGCATTGTCCTAAACAGTCAGGAATCCTACTCCCCCCCCCCCCAAAAAAAGCACATCAAACTGAAATCAATGTATGCGTGTTAACGCCGGTCAGCACGGCGGTCTTCTGCGGACTAGATCCCTGAATGCGGGGGAGGCGGGGGAGGGGGGGGGGGGGGAGGATGGCCGCGAGCTGTCATCTTAAAAACAACTGAGTCTCTAATGACGGTGGATGTATCCGATATCCGGTGTCCGATATCGACTCAGGTCAGTCTGCCACAGAAACACTAAGACGGCGACTGGGACGCTTCCGCCAGCCCTCCCTTCCCCGGCCATACGAGAGGTATCGGAAGAGGGGGAGGGGGGGGGGGGGGTATTGGCGCCAAGTCGCCGCCGCCGGCCCCTCCCCGGAGGATAATTACAGGGAGCGGCAACCGCCCCTGGTGGCCGGCACGGGCGTCCCGGCTGGGACGGTGTCGCCCCCGCTACACCCGACGCCGCCAGGGGTGCTTCAGCCACTAACCAGTGTATGCGTGTGTGGGGAGGCAAGAATCGTTTTTGATATCTTCTGCTAGCTGTAAAGCGTCATAGGCGTAGTCAGCATCACATAATACGACGCGCGTGCACTGCTGCTTTATAGGACTCCGACCATTCGCAACAGGCACCATCTGCGGACTAATGCTCCGTTTTCCTCGACTGCAGCGGTAATCCCGCCTGTGCGGCGATCTTGGCTCGCCCCTGTTCGCCGCTATCTCCGGCATCACCCGACAGCGTGGGTGGCGCCGGACGGGCGCCTCTGAGGCGGCAGGACTCCCCGGATGGAGGGAGACACGAGGCGTCAGGGCGTCGTGGGAAGCAGTGGGACGGCGCTGTGCAGCATTACCCTCAGCGTGCTTTAAACGTTTAGTTGCTTGAATTCCTTACTCAAGTGACACCACATTGTTGCCGTTGCTAGCGGGGCTTTTTCAATTTGTTGTGCATGAATCACACTGCTTTGGCATCACCTTCCCGCTGTTGCTACCGGACTTTAAATATATTTGTCCTGCCGATCCCCTACTTGCAGGAGGCTAGCATCAGAGCCCCGCTCACAGAAGCTTCCGCGAAGTTGCCGGGGAAGCTTTGCTTCCAGAAACGTAGCCTTTTGCAGTGCACTTAGCAAGTCTTTTAGTGTCGGGACAAACCCCGCCGCTTGAGTGGTCCGCAGCGGGCGAGCGCGGCATTGGGTTGGGTGTGCTTGGCCAGACGGTTGCTAATCCACTGTTGGTGATACACCCCTGGCCCATTTTGCCGTCATTTGCTCATGCACATCGTATCTTAGTTGTCATCCGGGATATCGGCTATCCGACATTTCCATTTTGGTGTGAAAAAGCGTGATAACATGAGCACGTCAAGTGTAGCCGACAGGCACACATCACAGAAAAGAGATTTTACACTTACACTTTGCATGAACAACATTTTTGCGTCACGTTTAGATACATGTTAGTTTTCAGGGGATCCCCAAATGTGTCTTACCATTTGGCAGAAGTGAAGTTGAGGCTGCTGCTGTTATAGTCCATGCGATTACCACTGTTTGCACTATTGCGTTTAAGCAGGCGGTGGTGATAATCATTCAATATGGGCTAGATTCTTTACCCAGACTTCTCCAACATAATTATCTATAGGTGGTAGCCGGGCCTACTTTGACCGCTACAAGACGTACAGTTATTAGAGGCAGATTTCAACGGTTTGCGCACTACTGCCGTGTTCACTTCTTTGCGCATTCTAGACAATCTAAAGCGAGCGTTCCACGTTTGAATAAGGTTTTGAGCTGAATCCTTGAAGATCATTCGGTGCAGTTTATCACCCCACCCTTCCCAATACCTAAACTCCTAAGTTTCTTAGCTACATGCCTGCAAAAATGTGCAGACTATTCATTCAGAATATCTCAAGATTATCCAGGCATCTGTGATGATGATGTGAGAATGTATCACCGAATCATAGCGTAGCAAATTATCTCACACTTCAGGCGAACACTTCCGTGTTCGAAGCGACAGCGCACGGACAGCCGGCGTGTGTGTGTTGTGTGTGTGTGTGTGTGTGTGGTGTGTGTGTGTGTGTGTGTGGTGTGTGTGTGTGGTGTGTGTGTGTGTGTGTGTGTGTGTGTGTGTTGTGTGTGTGTGTGTGTGTGTGTGTGTGTGTGTGTGTGTGTGTGTGTGTGTGTGTGTGTGTGTGGGCGCGGGGGGTGGGAGGGTGCTAAGCCGGCACGGCTTGGTTGTCCAACGAGCAGATTAGCGCAGCCTGGTTGCGGTCGGGTTTCGCGTCGTATAATAATGTGTGAGGGGGTGCAGTCATTTCGTCTCTTTTTGGAAAAACCCACCCGTTGAGTTAGTGGGTGAAACCGGTGAGGAGTTTGCAAGATTTCATGAGAGTATGTCCAGGTCACGAACTGTCAACCTTGTGATGTCAATTTCCGCCCAATTCTTGGCACAGGAACCGTAACTCATAGGTCTTTTCACCCGGCACTCGCGATTTTACACTGTAAAGCCGGTTCAAGGTGCTCTTTTCACCTACCATACCAATAACTACTATGTTGGATTACAGACATGCAATGCAAAATTAAACCACACGTGGTGATAGGCGCTCCGATTGAAGACAATCACTTCCCCCATTCATGGTCCACGACTATATCTCAAAATCGGCACGAACGAAAAGTGAGCAATTCGCATGCAACAGGTTTCTTGGTCCGTGAGAGAACCTGTTGTCCGTGTCCACTTGGTCCGTGTCCACTTGAAAGAGAACTTGTCAAAAAAGGCAAATCAAATGAGCAAGCCAACTGGCGCATAGGCGTGGGTTTATGCCTGGTAAGGCCGGGGGAGGGGGAGAGGCATCACACGTCATGTTCCTCCGGGCCCTCTATGAGGAAAGGCATGCAATCCGTAAAATCCGCCAAAAGAGCACCAAGAAGTAAAATATCTCATTGATTCTCCGACGTCTGTTAATGCATGACGATGAATGTTCTAAGATCCCTCCCTTTCTAGAACGGCTTACATCTTCTGACCGCATTAGCGATTACCGTTTTGATCACAAGGATTCGCAAACCCCACTGGCTACCCTCTGGAGGACTTCATGACTTGGGCAAACCTCGCAACTCCCCGCGCTGCCTGCCCTTCCTGCCAGGGCGAGAGACAAGCACCGCCATATAACTTCAGCAACTGAAGGCGTCGTTAAGTCGTTACGACAACGAGTTGCGTAAGCCCAAGGGCACTGGGCACCCATAGATAATGGAACACGGGTTGGGCAGAATACAGATTTTGGGGCAGGCACGGCACGGGTAACATGTTAACGCAATGTTGGGTCGCAGCCAATGGGGCTTAACGACGCGCTCAGTAGCTGGAGCTATATGACGTCACCTGCCTCTCACCCTGGCAGGTAGGCTGAGCACCGCGGGGAATCTTATCCTTATCTCCGGTTCTCCAGACCTGCAAACTCGCCGCTGCGCTGTTCGTGACGGGCAGTGTCGGTTAGACACTTTAAGAGATACATCGCAACGGTTCTGCTTGGACAGCTTTTGGTCTTCTTTGCTCTAGTTTTGCAGTCTTAAGTAAGTCGTCTTTTACTTACACTGTTTTTGTAATTATGAACACAAGATTAAGTCTAAGCGTTCTTCAAAGTCTCCAATCCAAACCTGAAGTGTTTGGGAATGCAAACGGGTCGGTAACGGGCGGTAACGTGAGCGGCTGATTAGAAATGGTAGTGTGGTGTGCACGGGCACAACTCACATGCGGCGGCTGGATTGGGTAAATTATGCATTGCCCGTGAAGGTCATCGTCTCCTGTTCCTCAAAAACTGCGAGTAAAACCCGACGGAAGTCTGAGCTTGAATTGCAATTCACGCGCGCTGGCGCATGCGCATTCGAATCATCTCCTTTATATTTCAGTGTCGCGAGTGGAATGGAATAGCCCTGTTCATTTAACATTTTAAATGATACTTTGCGATCCACTCTAACTGCACGGGGCTCACTTAGCGCATGTCTCCCCTCTTGCGGAGGTAATGCGATCCCTCGACGCGTCTTGCCGGATATTTTTGAGACTTGGTGGCGTGGCGAGCTACCTGATCATGTCAGTGTGCTGAAAAAGGTGTCGGAGGGCTATTATTGTCGTGGAAGACGTCCACAGTCAGAATGGTTAAATTAAACGTTGCTGACATACTGCTGGACCGTAAATCTACAACTGAACGACTATGTAGCTGGCTGTGTATCTGATGTTTTTTCGCGCAATAATACCGGCTAAGATGGAAGGAGTGTCGCACCTTGGGGCGTATTTTTAAA